ATAGATAGATAGATAGATAGATAGATAGATAGATAGATAGATAGATAGATAGATAGATAGATAGATAGATAGATAGATAGATAGATAGATAGATTTCTGCCCATCTATCACTGCTGTTCTTCTGTGCTAAGACAGGTCCCATCATGCAGCACTAATACAAACTCCTCTCTAGGGATGTCTCTCGGGAGCCCATAATAAGCCATTAAACAGTCGCATTAGGACTAATGAAAAGGCTCTTAGTGGTTTACCACTGCGGGCCACCTGGATTTCTGTGTGTGATGGCTGAAGTGGGAGGAGGTTGATGCTCAGAAGTTTAAAAAAAGGAGAAGGGGAAAAGGGGATGAGGGGAGGGGAGTACATGAGAACATAAGGGATTGTTTTTGCACAAATCTCTCGTCTGGATACTGGAGGAAAACACCCATGCGCTGTCCGTGGTGCTGAATGAACAATCTGAAAAACCTTGCGTCGAGAGTAGAACGATTTGCATACAAGTTTGTTTCTGTTTTTTTTTTACCAAACACACACACACAAACCTATGCCACATGACAGCCAACATGCTACCTGTGATTGTGATGCAAATGTTAATGGACTCTGAGCTGCTGTGATTAGCCTGATGTGGGCTCATTTCCCTCCTCACGGTCCCCAGAGAGCCCAGACCGGAGTGCCTTTTCATTGTCCCACATTAATCGATGAGCGCTGCTGGTATTTTCTGCTCGGTTGGTTTTGGCAAAGAGTCACGGCAGACCCATCACATCAGCGTGGAATAAAAGACAGAGATCCTGATTGTGTTTTTTTGTTTTGTTTTTAGCATTAATGGAGAGCAGAACACGCCTGTCTGTATGTTAGTTTTGATTCGAGTTTCCATTGACCAACCTTTATTCTGCCTCTTTAATAGGCTGCTCCATTATCTCATCCCGATCTGGGTCGTGCGTCAAACCATTTGAGCCACACACGCGCACGCGCCTTTTACCTTTTCTCTGTAAAAACATTTAATGGATGAAATAATGATATCCCACAATGAAAGCCGCTGTCGACTGACAGAATTGCGGTCAACGATGTCATGGAAACATAAAAGCATTGTTGTTCTAGTTTGTCTGGTGAGAGTCTCTGTCTGTAACACCACTCATGTCTGCAGCATGTCTGAAGAACAGACGAGGTATTAATTAAAATATATTTTATTTTTCCTTCCTGGATATTGTTTTGCCTCAAAATTGGACTTTTTATTTTTTTGTGATTCAATGAAAAAGATGTGGAGAAGGGGTGGGGGGTAGATGTGGTGGAGGCGTCATCCTGGGGGAGGAGGTTAGAGGAAGGCGGAGTACCTTGTGCCAACTCACCCATGTGTGTAATGTGAAAAGGGAGAGCCGGGGGCTGAAATATACTGAGGGAGGGGAGGAAGGAGAGGGGAGTGTGTGCGTGGGGGAGGGTGGGTGAGTTGGTCGGTATGTAGACATGAAATCTGACTTTGGCTTTTGATGCCATCCAAGTATCACGAGCACACGGATACAGGGGAAAATCCCACATAAATCATAGAGCTGTGATTGGTCATATCTGTGTCAACAGGGACGAGGATCCTCCTGGGTCCTGGCGCCACGCTGACTTTACCGTGACTCCCCACGATGAAGCGATAAACCGCGACAATCACTGTCGCTCTCTAAGGAGGAATGAGTGAAACATCAGCACCAGGAAACCCAGCGGTTTACGTTTAGGTATTAACATATTATATATGAACGACGCCCACCTTATCAACCTTCTTCAGACATGCTGAAGAAGATAAGCTATTACTGAGAAAAACAAACAAAACAAAAGATGTATATTTTGTGTTCTGTGAATTATAAAACATAGGGATCCAACATGGCGGCCTCCATAAACAAATACACACTTCTGATGGGAGTCTTCGGGGTAAAAAAAACAAATATTGACACAAAACATTTAAAAATTATAAAAAGGTTAATTATATTATATTATACTATAGCTCAATAAATAATTGAATGTTGAATTTCCTAATTTAAGAAAACTTAGTAGTCACGTAGGAAAACCTATCCTTTCAATTGCATGAAAGGGCGGGAAATGTGTGGAGAAAGAGGATTTGGACAAAAACACTTAAATTTTGTTAATTTAACTGCATATGTAAGACTGGCATTTTATTATTAATAATAGTAATAATAATAATAATGCTATTATTATTATTATTACTAGGCGGAGGTGTGTGTGCCCCGCTGCCTGCATGTGTCACGCTTGCTCTTTTTCATCCTGCAGCTCACTCCATCAGACAGCGCAGGGCGCAGATCAGAGCAGGGCTGCAGCCCCGTGATAACAGCCTCTGTCATTAACTCTTTCATCCAGAGATGGAGGGGAGAGCCAGCAGCCATTTTCGTTCCCCCCTCGAACAAGCATTTAGTCAAACACAGACGCACACACACACACACGTGCAGGAGAGCGAGCCACAGACCGACACTGATTAATGTGCGACTCTCTGTTTTCAACCTCTTTACGTCAGGCCTGTGTGGCAGACAGGTGCGGAGATCTCGGCCCTGCGTGATCCACCTGAAACCACTGCAGCACGACCAGGACAGTGGAGGAGTCATAGAGAACATAGGAGCGGATTTAAACGCCGGTATCGAAAATGAAAAAATATTTGGTGTTATTGTAGCTCAAGCCGAGTGTCCTTTGGAACACTGTCAGAGATGAACCGCAGGAAATCCTGCCTGATCTGGGTGATATGTAGAAGAAATCCCCTGCACTGACACTGGCGTTTTGATGGATGACGTGCTGTAAATTATTTCACTTCACTCCGCTGTTTTGCTTTGACAATTTTGCTGCGAAAAAAAAAGGTTTTCTACACATCTACACGACAAGGACAACGTGTGTATTTCATTAAAATATCAGACTACTACACATATATACCACGCGTCTGGGGGAAAAAACAATTCTATTAAATTATATTAAAAAATAATGGAGTTATATATGTGTCAAACACGTGTTTTTAATCACAAATCATTCAAACAATGCTGGATATTAGACACGCTAAAAAATAAAGATAAATTACACGTTTTTGATTCTAACAAACAAATCATACTCACTCTCTCACACACACACACGGAATAAGTGAGTGATGGAATGAAAATATTAAAAGAAAAAAAAACATGGCAGAAATCAAGCTTTAAGGAAAGAAAATAAGAGGGCAACATGAATAAAAACTCCAAGGAAAAAGTCAATCCAAAGTAATAAAATAATCCAAACGTACATGTCGGTTGTTTCCAAAAACAGAAGGGACTTCTTTAGCGCGAAGGCAGCAATTATTATTCAGTCTGTATTAAAAATAAAAATCTTATACCATTATATAGCAATGACTGAAACAAAAACAAAAAAACATTTAGCCTCATTGTACAGACTGACAACACGTCATATAATCCAAAATACAACTGGAGAAACTAATGTCGCTACGTCCGCTGTCCCTAAAAAATAAAAATCGATCTTTCAGAATGTTTTGATTTTAAAAAATCGTAAACGAATCCATTTTTTTAATGATTTTTAAAAAAAAAAAAAAGTCTTCTCCAAGAGTTTGATTCTCTACGAATTCCAGGCTCCTTTTATACGCGTAAAAGTGTGCACGACTTCAGGGCCCCGGAATGCCATTGGACGTTGGGATGCGTTATTATAGATCGTGGGTTTGGGAAGAGATGGTGGGGGGGACTGGAAGCACCTCCCCCAGAAATGCAGCAAAGCTCTTCCATTTTCTCCTCTGGTGGGGCACTGGGAGGCTTGGAGACGTGCTTTGCATTGGCAGGCTGTTGAGGACACGTGTCTCCTCCTCCTGTCCCCCCTCCGGGCTCCACCGTACCGCATTGGCATCACTATAGGCACCTGAAAACCTAACAGCCTACTCCCGGACCCTGCTGCCCAACGCTTTGTGATCCGAATTAAACGCATATATGCGCCTTTTGGAGACCTGTTGCCGCCGTTTATCGTGCGTAACGCTTTTGCGCACGGTGCCGAGACGCGTCAGATAGGTGCGCTTCTCGTTTCGAACCAGAGCTCGGTGCCAGGATGCACAAACGGAGCGGCGACGTCTGAAGGTGACATGAACCTGGGGATAGTCGAGAGCAGCAGGAGAAAACTGGACCAGAAGCGGAGATAGCAACTGAAAACCTCCGGTGTCTTCATCGAAGTCGCGCGCCTTTCTGTGGCTTTATCTGATGTAGAGGACCAAGAAGTGCGACACACGTAATCACTTGTTTCTGACTGGAAGAGAAAAAAATAATAATAATTAAGGCGCAAACCGTTGAGCCACAGGAAGAGAACCGAAGATGGCGACGTTAATTAGAGGAAAGATTTCTAATAAACTGTCAAATGCAGCCACAGCTGTTTCCAACAAATCCCAGGCGAAGGTGAGCGGCATGTTCGCCAGGATGGGCTTCCAGGCCGCCACCGACGAGGAGGCTCTGGGCTTTGTCGCCTGCGATGACCTGGACTACGACCACAGACAAGGTATGCAGATGGACATCCTGTCCTCCGATGAAATGGGAGGAGAGCCGAGCGGAGACGGGGATGGGACAGAGGGGGACAGCCACTACCAGAGGGACGGCACAGGTCCACCGCTCTCCGCCTCCAAGGATGGAGGTTCGAACAACGATTTGGGCGAAGCCAGACCAAAAATCACCGCGTGGGAGGCTGGATGGAACGTCACGAACGCGATTCAGGTAAAAATGCAAAGTTCTGGATTATGGAAAATCGGGATTCGATAATCGGCTCGAACCGGCAGAACCGGCAACGGATCAGAGGTGACAAATCGAGATGGTGTGGAAAACGTTCATTAACACGTTCAAAAGTAATGAAACTGCTGTTATGCGCACATATAAAAAAAGTTCATTTTTTTCATCATTTTCTGTACTCCTTATTATGGGAATGCAGCCATGCCACGTCCCCCTCCGCCCACACACACACACACCCACACACACACACCATCACACCATCACACACATGAACGCCCGCACACTCTTTGTTCGTGCACTGATTTCCAGTGCCATTGATCGTCCTGTTCGATAACTGTTCATCTCTAGTAAGAGGATAAAAACATTGTTTAAAGAATTGTTGCACACGCGGTCATGCGGTTGTTAGGGAAGAGCAGCAGCTGTGTGTAACAGTCCTGTGTGAAGTCACTCTGTGTTATAGGTAATTACATTAGCTGATAGAAATAGGAAATACGTGAAAAAGGTCCTAGCTCAGGGATGTCACTGAAAACCAACAGTTTTTATTCTAATTCTATCATCGATTTTTCTTAATCGAAATTCATATGTTTTTTAGTATTGATACCAATGGTTTTTATTCTAATTCTATCACGAAAACGTAAATTTATCGATTTTTCTTAATCGAAAATCATATGTTTTTTAGTATTGATACCAATTATAGGACCTCTAGTGGTGTGGGGACCAAAACCAGGGCCCTCTGACGTAGAACGTTTGTACTGAAGCTGCGGGTAAACTAAAGACGTGTATTATCGTTGAAATAAATGATAAAATCATGTCTGGTCGTGTATTTGGTCACGGATATAACTTTGATTATTCGATCAAATCAACAGAAGTCGGCGAGGTTCCCGTTGAGACTATATGCGCACACCTGCGTATGTGTGGGGGGTATGTGTGGGTGGATGGGTGTAGGCTATGCGACAAAAAAAAAAAAAAAAAATCCTACGGCGCAACTCCGTCTCTATCGCAGCCGTCGCTGTGACGTCAGAGTGTCTCCTCCAGCTGTGCTGACGTCAGAGGCGTGCGAATCATGCGCTCAAAGCAAAGTGGAAAACCCATATCATGAAACCCGGAGTGGCATCCATCATTAAAATATATTATTATATTATATTATTTATATTTATATATTTATATATATAAACAACTACACTCGATAATTAAATTTACAGTTTAATTAATGGACATGTTGACGATGTTCATGCTCCTTGTTCGCAGGGGATGTTTGTTCTCGGGTTGCCTTACGCCATCCTGCACGGTGGATACCTGGGACTCTTTCTCATTATTTTCGCCGCCGTGGTGTGCTGTTACACGGGGAAAATCCTCATCGCCTGCCTGTACGAGGAGGACGAGGACGGGCAGCTGGTCCGTGTCAGAGACTCCTATGTGGACATTGCCAACGCCTGCTGCGCGCCCAGGTTCCCGTCCTTGGGAGGTCACGTGGTGAATGTAGCCCAGATCATAGAGCTGGTGATGACGTGCATCCTGTACGTGGTGGTCAGTGGGAACCTGATGGTCAACAGTTTCCCCAACATGCCGATATCCCAAAAGTCCTGGGCCATCCTGGCCACTGCTGCTCTGCTGCCCTGCGCCTTCCTCAAGAACCTGAAAGCCGTGTCCAAGTTCAGCCTGCTGTGCACGATGGCTCACTTCGTCATCAACGTCCTGGTCATAGCCTACTGCCTGTCCAGAGCCAGGGACTGGGCCTGGGACAAGGTCAAGTTCTACATCGACGTCAAGAAGTTCCCCATCTCCATTGGGATTATCGTGTTCAGCTACACGTCGCAGATCTTCCTGCCCTCTCTGGAGGGCAACATGCAGAAGCCCAGCGAGTTCCACTGCATGATGAAGTGGACTCACATCGCCGCCTGCATCCTCAAGGGCCTCTTCGCCCTGGTGGCCTACCTGACCTGGGCTGACGAAACCAAGGAGGTCATCACCGACAACCTGCCCCCGACCATCCGAGCTGTTGTCAACATCTTCTTGGTGGCCAAGGCTCTGCTGTCCTACCCGCTGCCGTTTTTCGCCGCCGTCGAAGTCTTGGAGAAATCGTTTTTCAATGACGGGGGACGCGCGTACTTCCCAGATTGCTACGGAGGAGACGGACGCTTGAAATCCTGGGGACTGGCTCTTAGATGTAGCCTCGTCGTGTTCACCTTGCTCATGGCCATTTATGTGCCACACTTCGCCTTGCTCATGGGCCTCACCGGCAGCCTGACGGGCGCGGGCCTGTGCTTTCTGCTTCCTAGCATCTTCCATCTCAAGCTTTTATGGAGAAAGCTGCAGTGGCACCAGGTGTTCTTCGACGTCTCCATCTTTGTTATAGGAGGTATATGCAGCGTGTCCGGGTTCATCCACTCCATGGAGGGGCTCGTAGAGGCTTTTAGATATAACATAGAAGAGTAGATGTCGCTGGAGTTAGATGTCAACTGCGCACCCCGCTCATTTTAGTGGATTTAAAAAAATTAATTCAAACAAACAAACAAACAAACAAAAAAAACGACCTCCCAGCAAAATACCCCCGCGCCCCCCCCTCTCTGCTTCATCCATGCGTAAAAGCGCGCATTTACACCAATTGTCTTGCAATGAATCAGCATACACACACACACACTATTCTGATGTCAGTAAGGAAATCGAACGCACCCACTTCATGACTACAGTACATGTTGTATAAATATGCGAGCAAACGTACAGTATCTACATATTTTTCCAGTGGAGTGAACGTTTACAATATTGACAAAGTGAAACAAAGTGACAAAAAAAATGGGGGGGGGGACAGTTTGTCTTGTCGTCGCTCTTGTGGTGAATCTGCCCCCCCACCACACACACACACACAAACATCAGAGTTCTCTCCATGTAATGATTCATTGATGATTAAAGTACAACATAAAGGTCATTTGGAAAGTTATTACACACAAAATGTACATCTATAATTAAATCCAGGAAGAAAAAATATCGCAAAGGCAATAACTCGATTGTTTTTAAACCGCAATATCGATTATATTCCCCAAACAATTATTATTATAAAAAAAATAACAAAAAAACACTGGAAATGCAGAATATAACAGCAGCTATACAAACTATGCATTGAATGTATGATATTAAAGGCAACATCACAATAAATCTAGGAGGTGCAAACGTGATACTGTTCTATAGAGATCTTAAACATTTCGATTCTTCTGTGTGAAAGTGTTGATGCGTTGGTATTTCTCCCTACATCTTTGACACATGCACATCATTTATTAGCGGGATTTTTAGCCTGCTGTTGCTGATTTCACTTCACCTTCTGAGTAGAAAGTGTGGAAACAACGTTCAAACCCAAGATCGCGGTCCAGATCCCAGCTACAAGACGGGGACCCCGACTCCAAACCCTGCACAGCACACTGTACTGGGAAAAATATATTTATTTATTTTTCTTTATTTTGAAAAAGTGCGTGAACTGTTCTGGAGTTAAGTTAGAAAATTCGGTGTGTGAAAAGTCAACATTAAGGAGGAAGATGTGCATACAGACATTTTTCATTCTGTGCAATCCAATGGGTCCTGTGGAATTGTTCTAAAAAAAACCGTGTGTGTAGTGTGTTTATCGTGGTTTAAAAAGATGGAATGTATATCTCAAAGTCGTTCTCATATATCGTGAAATTAATATTAAAGAATAAAGAAATAAGTGAAATTATATTGTAAAAATGTCTGTGGTTTTATGTAAAAAAAAATTTAAAAAAAGTCAGAACGTGTATTTTTTTTTCTTCTCTATAATAAAAGACGGAAATGATGAAAACGACACGGGCGTCGACATTTTCTCTAACGGTAACAACCACGGAGGCCTGCAGAGGCTTTTAGGGCCGGATTTAGATACACGAGCAGGTGAAGCTCACTCTTCTGTCTCTCTAGAACACCATCACATTTCCCGGCACATTTTACACCTAAACACTGATGCGGAATATTCTCGAGCCTGCAGAGAAATCCCGAGGCACGCATGTTCGGATTCTCTGCTGCAGGCGTGCATGAATGGAACTGTTAATGCACCGTGTTGAGTTCCAGCTCAGACAACATCTGGACCAAAGCCCCGGTGCTCCGAGAGGCCCAGCTGCTGAGCCGGTAGGGCATTTACAGTACACCAGTACACCAATAGAACCAAACTGTGGTCAACGCGAACGGTTAAGTGGACACAAATTAAGCTTATCTATAAAGGAAACAAACTAACAAACAACAGTTTGAATTCTTACAAAGTGCAAAAATATTTGAGACTTGTCCCAATGGTTACATGTGTCAATGTTTATATTAGTGAGGTAAATAGAATCTTCGTACTTGTTTAGATGGGACGTTTGGTCTCATGCCTAAAAAAAGTTCGACTGCATTGGAATTTTGATTTTTCATTAGGTAAATTAAAATAAAAATACAAAAATGTTTTCAAAGCAATCATGTAATATATAGAAAAAATATAGTACTATTAACTATTATTTAGTAGTGTTAAGCAATATATGAGGGAGCTGTTTTCAGGAGATTGTCATCATCTATGGTCATCATATCTTAATGGAAAGACTGTTAGATAAACATGTAAAGAGAGCCATCTAGCGGGCAAAAGCGAGAATGACAGATAAAATAGAGACGAATCATACAGTGGGCCACATATTAAAAAAAACTACAACTTTAACGGTGGGAGGCGAGGCTTAAATCCATGAGGGTTAGCAGAGATACTACTTTACATTTGGGAAATGATTAATTTGTGGAAAATTTCTGCTCCATCTCCCCATCAGTTTAGTGGTCCTTGCTTTAACAAATATTAAAGACCTCTGTTTAAACGTCACTTTTTATTTTCCAGTCTCTTGTGACGATTGTACACAACAGGCTGTTACTGAATTTTTAACATATTGCAATTTCTGGGTGCATAAGGAATTACCGTATTTTCAAGATGAAAGAAAATAGTCAAATTTGAGACAGATTAATTGCCAAACATGTTACATTTTTATTAAATCTGAAATTTGCCGTGTCTAAAAGGTTTTTAAAAATGAAATTTAAAGTAATATGCTTGAACAAAAAAGCTTAAAGAAAACTGCAATTTATTGAGACAGGAATTTTGCTGGGATTTGCAATGGCATTAAAAAGATTATACTCTACAATTGAAAGGTTTTTTTAAAGTACGATGGCTCCCTCTGCTGGTTTAATTTCAGAAAGGAGTAAACAATCTCAGCATCAGATCGAAACAAGACAAACATTTTGACAGAACAACAAAGATAAAATTTGAAGAAATGATACCGGCTAATTTGCTGAAATTCAGGCTCAGGCATTAAAACATTTATATGTTCACTCTAGACACCACTCATTCTGCATCCAACTGCACGTGACTGCATCTGTGACAGACATGACAAAGCAGCTGTGAGATATGCCTCAGAAGATCTAAAAGTCCCTTCTGATTTATATTCTTTGCCCCCAAGAGAGAAAAATCACACAAACACCAGACTGCCAACAATACAAGAGTTCCACCATAAGAGACGCATACAGGAAAGTAATACTTACAGAGTGTAATATATTTTGAGCAGTGACACTTGGCCTCTCACTATAAAAATCTGTTTGTTCTGAGAGAAACACCAAACTACTCCACAGGTGATGCAGAGTAAACTCGACATCCAGCAACTAGCAGTTGTACCTAAGGTTGTAATCCAAAGGTGCCATCTGAGTTCGGACCCGACATCAATACAATAGTTCCATTTTTGGATGCTCTCTCTTTTCCAAGTTCAAGTAGTAATACATAATCAGACAAACAGTGAAATATTCACAAACAAACACAGGGTGTGACAAGAATATGCATGTAGTTCGAAGTGTACCTGCAGCCACATGATATGATGGAGTCAAGCAGTGGCTGCAGAGTGGAGTCTGTGTTCTACACCAGCCAGGGACACCACAGGAACAGCAGGGCTCACTGGCCCGGCTCTCCAGCCTTCAGTGTCGTCGGCTTCTTGGTGGAGCATTCCACAACCCAAGGATGGCACAGGACGCCCTGGACGGGCAGCCGGTGCATGGGGTTGTGTTTCAGTAGCTGTGCGACCAGGCTCTTGGCCCCAGCACTGATGTTAAGGTGAGCAGGGTAAGTGTACTCCACCTGTACGACAGAGGAACAAAGTTATCTTACACTAGCTTCAACTTCTGAACCAGGTTTAACTGTGTTATCAAGTAGAAGAATAGACCCACACCCCCTTGAATTGAAACACTATTGAGAACCTGATAACGTTTTTTTTTTTGTACATGCCATATTCCATTCAAAGCCTCTCATGCCTCTCTGCGCCACTATTTGAGAAATACTGCTTTAATTTCACCGTTCACTGCCAAAACAGCATCCATTGTAAAACAGTCAAAAAGAGCTTCATGCATTTGTCATAGAATAAAAACAATGGTAAAAATCATCTTTGCCAAATTTATCAGTAAATGACTCAGTCAAGCGCAAATAATTCTACCAGTGTAGGATCAATAAGGTTCAGTTCAGTCTAAAACCATCTGTTGTATTGTATTGTACCCTTGATATCCTGCGGTAGGTGTCCTCCTGACTTTTCGCTTCAAATGGTGGATTTCCCCGGAGGTCACGCTGACTATCCACCTTTTCATCATGAGTTTTGCCCTCAATCATTTCTGGCGGCAAATAGTCTAGTGTTCCACACAGAGTGGACCGTCTGTACCAGGAGAGGACGCTCATTAGTGTGTATAGTCACATTCAAAACACAAATTTTAAAATTCCACAAATCTTTAGAAAAAACAAAAAACTCAAGCCATGAAAAAGTGATTTTCTTTTTCTAATCACCTGGAGGATGGCGTATGAACAGACCATCCAAAGTCTGCGATCTTCAGCTCGCCGTTTGCTCCCAGTAAGAGATTCTCTGGTTTGATGTCTCTGTGGATCACCTTCTTTGAGTGGCAATAGTTAAGGGCATCTGCCAGCTCCATGATATACTAAAATGTCAGAATGTATGGTCACCAGAATGTTACAAAGCTGACCGCACAGTTAAAAAAAAGAAAAAGAAAAGTTTTCTTACAAAAGCACTTACTGTTGCACTTCTGTCCTCAGGCAAAAAAAAGAGAAAAGTTTTATTCCAAAAACACTTACTGTTGCACTTCTGTCCTCAGGAAAATGTCCACAACGCTGCAGCTCACCGTACAGTTCTCCCTTGGGCGCAAACTCAAGGATAAGATACACACGAGAGGCGTCGTGGAAGTAACCGTAGAGTCGCAAAATATTGGGATGCCTACAGTGGGTCGACACAGTGTTTCCAAACGTCACGTTAAAAATACCCAGAAGAGCAAACACGATAGAAAAAAAAATGCAGGTAGAATGACAGGAAATTGAAAAATAAAAAATTGTCAACCCGTTACAGACATTTTTTTGAGCTCCTACTCGAACATGCAGCTGGTCCCTGTCTAAGTTGTAGCACTAGTGTCATTGCAATAAACAAAAAATCTGACTGTCAAATATTAAAACGACAGAAATTCACTGTAGATACAAAAAGCCAGCCATACTTGTAATAACACATTTCTAAAGTCTATAAAAACTATTATTAAAACTATTAAATATTTTTGTTTTGTATTCTGTTCTAAATGTTAGAGAAAAAAAAATATTTTTGTTTTGTTTTCTGTTCTAAATGTTAGAGAAAAAAAAAATCACCTGAGGTGAGACTGGATCTCCACTTCTCTTCTAAGCTGGTGCTCCACTCCAGCCTTTTCCAACTGCTTCTTGAAGAGCACTTTCAGGGCCAAGATGAACTTACTCTGCCGCTCTCTCGCCAGGTAGACATTACCAAATTTGCCCTTTCCTAAAGGACGACCAATGTCAAAATTTTCCAGGCTCCACCTTTTCCTGTGTGAGCACAAAAATGCCTTGATTATAGACAACATGTGTTTTAGATTTTTGAGAACATACTGTAAAGATCAATCATCAGACATACTTTGATGCAGAAGCATCCGTGGAGTCATTCATGGGGGTTTTGTCTATGAAAAAGGGACGAAACGTTCAGTATCAAAAGATTCATGGTCAGTAAGAAGAAGACTTCTTTAATTCACACTTACTCTGTGGCTTTTCTTCTTTTGACGACTCTGCTGGTGGCCTCGGTAACTCCGGATTTGTCGTGTTTGCAACCATCTTTGGCTTGTACTGCTGAGAAGCGGGTTTGGGCTGAGGTGTAGGATTTACATTTTGGTCGGATAAATGAGTGGACTTTATTGCAGCAGAGACCTGGGGTACTGGTTTCTGAGGGACCCCAGAGCGCCGAATGCGCTGAGGTCCATTTGACACAGTGAGGACCCGTTGATGTGGCGTTGGTGTCACTACAGCCGTATGTGAACGTTGTGACACAGGAATACGCTTCGGTCCTTCAACACTTGACTGCAAATATAAAGAATTAAAATAAATCACAAATGACTACATTGCTGTTTTTTTCACATGCATTTCTTGACATGCTAGGACTAATTCCATGTCTTCATTTTAATAAGCTAGTTTTTGGCAAAGCAATTGATTATTTCAACATTAAAATGACACTAAACTCAATGAAAAAAAACTTTATATATTGGCATGACACTTCATGCCTAATTTACAGTTTTGTAAATCCCAGTTTCAAAAAACATTAAGTAGTTTGGACCATCGACAAATATTTGTCATGTTAACATATGTAAAAATGTACAAACTCATGGAAAACACACAAACAAGCAAACAATACATAGTTCTGGCACAACTTCAGCTAACAATACATAGTTCTGGCACAACTTCACGTGTTTTATATGACTTTTCAATTTAAACATACATATTTAATACACATCTGTAATAGCTTGTATACTTTACTTTCCCAACTACGCAACAAGAGATTTTTGTCACAATGATCTATTGGTTTTGATTGAAATTGATATATTTACCTTGAATTCAGGCCTATGAATCTTCGAGTCCGTTGTCAGTTTGAGTTTTGCTGAGTCCATATCCTGAGAAAAGTCAACATTATTACATTAAGTGGACAACTCCTTACGTCAATTTTGGTTAATAAGTATGATCAACAGTAATAATAGCGGAGCTAGTTTTGCTTTGTTATCCTAACGTTGAGTGGCATTGCCGTTATCAACAATGCAGTGTTAATACTGCTGCTGCTAAGCCTGCTAGGCTAGCTGACAGAAAGAAATCCTTAATCAATCAAAAGGGCTTACCTAGGCGTATTGTTGCACACTACCCAAAGACACCAAGGTCCAAAAATATATCCAGAATTTAAACCAGCTGAAAATGGCAGTTGTTGAGTTAGCTGTCGCTAGTTAGCAGCTCCTCCGGCCTGTTAACCAAATTTGTCGTGTGCGGCAGCCTTCATACATAGGATATTTTCTAAACCCGATACCGCTGTATTTGTTATTCAAGCATTTTAAGCAAAATCGCAACAACGTTAATCTCGCTGTACAAGTCTAAACGAAAAATTAACTAGACGAAATAACTGTGAATAACACACGGTATTTACTGATACGAGAAAGAAGATGGCTTCCTCGCTTGCAATTTCAAACGTCCCTCCGTTCAAAGGCTTTAAATCAACCGCGAGCTCTGATTGGCTGAGAGAATGCAGTGCGGTTCGTTCTATTGGGTCACAATTATTAGAGGGTGACGTCAAGACGTAAGCGGTAACTCAACCGGGGATTGGGTGGCGCTGTCTCAACGATAAATAGATCATTTTTTTCATGAAAGTTTTGGAAATGTTATTTTTATTTCATTCTGAAAATTATTTTTAGTATTATTATACAATATTATATATTTAGACACATTACATATTTTATGAACACGTTCTTATCCTGGAACCTATTTTGTCAAGTCCGAATTCGTTTTCTTGATGATGTACATGTTTTTGCTGTTTTAAAAACATCTTTAATATTTAACCGTTTTATAATAACAACTCATCATGAACACACCAATGTGGGCAATTGTTTTCTGAACGCATTAGCTTTTTTCTTTCTACAGTAACTATGCAACAATTCAACCAATTCCTCTCTCAAAGAAAAAAAAATTACACTAATTGATTTAAATATATATATTTTTGCCACATTCTTGAGATTAAGAGAACAAAACTTTTTTTTTCAGGCACCGGAACAAGGTATGTGTCGATACACTTCTCTGTAGTCAGTGCACTTCCTACAAACCTCTTCAATGCCAACAGATATTTCGGTCAGAAGAACAAACACATATTAAATAAAGTTTTTCTTTCACCACTTTGATAAAAACACATAATAACATTTACTCTCTGTCAAACGTCAACATTGAATAAGTTACTCAGCAAGTGTAGCAGCTTTCCTTTTTTAAAATATGTCACTTGTAAGTGCAGATGTTAGAAAGTGGAAAGTTATCAACTCTTAGTTCCAACAAACGTAACATCTTTAAAGAAAAGGTTTTTTTTTTCTATTTTGGTTGTTTGTATTACAGTGTTTAAAATGTTCGTCTTCATAAACATAAATATGGCATGTACCTTGATCCCTTCATTGTATTTAAATACTTTATAAGATACTAAAAAAAATAAAGTATTGCATTGGCTTGTTCTTGAACATGGCTGGTACAGTGTCTCGTTACTACACAGGTCCCACAAGAAATTTCTGCAGAAGAGATGGCCACAAATGACTTGACTTTGACACGTCCCGTTGACATTGAAATGTCAACTATTGTGCCATAGCAACTGTTTACTCTGACATCTGAAACCACTACCATATGCAGTGCACTCACTGCTACCATTGTGTTGTCACAGGTGAACTCCTCTGCGTCACTGTTGTGCTCTTTATCACAACAAACAACTGTTCTTTTTCCATTCGCTGTTACATCACTGGAGTGACCACCTGATATTCTGAAGGTCTTGTGGTGGATGGAAAAGCAGTCAGGACATTTTCTTTGTGTAAGAGGCTGAATGGGAAGTGCCACATCTCCTTTGGCACCGTGCACATGCTTTAAGTTCAACCAGAGAGTCTGATGCATGTCTGTCCATGCTGCCAGTTTCCTGACGCACCACAGTTGTTCAAAAGTATCCCTGAGTGCACCACCCACACACATCCCGCCCCTTGTGCGTTTCATCGCTGTGGTCCTGCCGACCAGCATCTCCTTGAAAAAAAAAATCCCTAAACAGTATCGGGTTGTCAAAAACCCATATCTACAGTAGGCAGGTTAGTATACACGAGGAAGGTATTCAATCATACAAAGATGCACAGCACCACAACATCATAAAGAGAGGCTGTTGGGACTAGTGTGTAGTCCGTCTTCAACTCCACTGAACAGTTGAGGTAGTTGTCATTTCTCAATGACTGCAGCAACTATCGGTGTGCATATGGTCCCACGGGCTGTAGCTGCCAACTCTTCAATTTCAGCATTCAGTTGCCTGATGACCCACTCCATGGCTTCACGGCCCTGGTTAGGAACAAAGGTAAGTATTGATCAACAGTTACACAGAGTCCCGAACACTTGAATTGACTAACCTAAGAACAAATCTAGTTGTGCTGAACTACAGTATGTCAAAGGCATGTTAGCTCACCTTTCCGGCATTAGAAGAGATTGTGCTGGCCATGAGTCCTTCTAAGTAACTGCTGAGGCTGACGCCTTTCACAGAGATGATCGCCTCCTGGGTCAGTATTGTTCTAAAAGACAAAATACATTTTAATTTATGAATCATAAAACAAACTACAGTATGAGTTGAAACAAAGTGATTTGTGAACAGTACAAACAAACATACTTCTCTGGATTCTCAGGGTGTGGTTTATACGTTAACCTCTCATCCACAGAAACCATATTTGTCAACGTGATCTACAGATGAAAGAACAGACAGTTGCTCAGTGTCAAGATACAATATGTACAGTTTCATACTGTGCTGCCTGAGTCAGAACAGATTATAATACAGTATGTGAACATTGTTATAAAAATGAACCCATGGGTGTGTAACTAGTAACTAGTGTAACTAGTACTTTACTGTACTAGTATGTTTCCCCCAAGGGGGATGAATAAAGCCCTACTCTACTCTCTACTCTAACAGGTAATACTTCATTCCAAAAATAAAAGACGAGTGAGTTTAGTCGAGTAGACGTTGTGAGAAGCAGCAAAGGGTGTGAATTCGCAGATCTAACCTAATGAGCTCACACATTCAATTGGTCTGTGTCTTCGAGGAAAGGCTCACAACACAACAAACCATGAGGCAACAGCATTATTAAAACACTCACATTTGTGGACTGAAGTTCAAATGTTTTCTGTTTGGGGTCCACGACTGAATGCTCCTGAATGTAGGTGTATGTTCTTGCATTGCCGATGAGCTGAAAACAAAGCATAGTGTTTTTCTTATTTAAGTAGCAGACCATAATTTATCAGTCAGTTCTTAGAAACAACACACAAACAAATGAAGTAACAATAATTAAGCATCAAATTGACATGTAAAATATTACTTGTAAAGTATTACAAATTATAATTGTTTTTTTTTGTGATCTAGATATCCAGTTTACACACATAATCACAGATAACTCACAGGCTGTGCTGCAATGGTATCAGTCACTAGAACAGTGTAAGAGCAATGACTGATAGAAAAACTTACAGGATATTATCTTTCTTATCACCCCTATCGCACAAGGTTAACAAATAAAAGCTTAAAACCCAGAGCCCCCTGTAGCTGCTCTCCATTTTACTGACCTCTATTTTTGACACAGACGTGGAAAGTTACATCACACAGTGCCATGGGTTAAGTCTTCACTGTGACACAAGCAGTGGCCCAGAGCCATAAACTCGTACGGGCTTCCGTAACCAACCTCAGCTCCTCAGCACAGAAATAGCCCTGGCAGGTTAAGGTCACACAAACTGGCTGAGAAGCACCGACCTACGGTAATGTTGGTCTCATGTGCAGGGTGGAAATTAGAGGTAATTTTAGGCCAGCACATCACGAGCCATGTCAAGTCAAGTGTTTCTCCATTCAGTGTCCCACGGTGACCACATGCTGACCTCAGGAGGATTTTTTTCTATGATATGAGTGAAGACACTTACAGATTTCACAATAGATGGAAGACCCCACTCTGTGCTGAGCAGTCTTTTACTGTGGAGGCAACCGTGTTTGTCCACACTTCTATCCAAAACGTCCACTCCTTTCACAGAGGGATTCATAGGGTTCGGATACTTCTGCATGGCAGCCTTGGTCACAGTCTCCCAAGGATGACTGTTGAAGGTTAAAGAAAAGTCAATAAAAAAACAAAAACAAAAACATAACACACAGAGACCCCCACAATCTGTCTGCATAGCAAGATGAGAAGTCCTTTATTTTAGTTGTTTAAAAAAAAATCTTTAGTGATAATGAGGACAGTGATGGGAAGATTAATGAAACATGATATCCTACAATCTCAACAATGAATTACTTATTATAACCGTTACAAATACAAGTATTGCATGAAAAAAGAAAAAGGTAGAAAAAGTGTAAACTATTGTTTTCATGTCATTTTACTGCAGGATTAATGACATCAGTGATGATATTATTAACATTAGAACACATGACATAAACGGTGTGTGGCTGCAGAGATTATGTTTTGATATTTTTGAGACTCTCACATTCCTGAGTTAAGATTTTTGGCACATGGAAGAGCAAGATAAGTGCAAGGGTCAATGAATAAAAGATAAATATATAACTAATTAACATCAATAAAACATACAGTGTAGACTTATGTGTAAACGGTAGACAGTTATGTATGACATAGATGTAACTACTCCATAATGAATTAATAAATGTTTCTTCAATTGATTATTATTTATAAGTTAAAAATATAGTTCATTGCTGTGGAATAAAATAATTATTTATTGTGTTAAGAAACTCTGCTGCAGAGACTTTAATAAATGTTACAAAATGTTACATACAAAATGACCTGGTGGGCCACATTTAGGCCCCCGGACCTTGAGTTTGACTAATGAGCTTTAGACGATTAGCAAAATGTAATTTAGTCTGCTTCACGTTATGTACAATAATGTGTTTTCATTCATGTGTATAGGGTTCATGACTACATATGCTAAATTCAGTTTGTTCGAACTCATACTTATTGTATTAGTTATAACTAAATCACTATCCAGGCATCATTAACCAGGTTTTTTTCTGTATTGGCGTCATTGAAACGTCACTCTGGCGCGTCGGGCAGAAAATATGAGCCGAGAGTTAAAGTATTTGTAATTTAACTTTGTTGTTTCAAAGTATCTCAATTATGTTGCCAATACAATCAGCATCAATTTTATATCGAGCTCAAGTTCACAAGTGCACCACAAAGCCGCCTAGGTGGGTGACGTAAGCGCCTACGACACAATGTAAGGGAAAGGTCGCACGCTGGGGGCTTGACCAGACAGCCCGCTTATGCAATTCTATTCCTCACTAACTCTATAATAATTCCATTTCGTATTTGTTACATAATACAACATTGGCACTGACGTTACTTTTCTCAGCTCATTGCAGTTCTTACGTAACGGCTTCTGTAAATCTTTCTTTTGTTTCCTTAACATCACGACATCGGTTAAAATCTGAAATTAAGCATCACGGGTTTGAGAACTTGTGACGTTATAAGTCAAAGATTCAAGTGATAAAACACACTACTCACTTGAATGTGTGCTCTGAAGTCCAGATTTTCATGGTTTAGTTGCGGTGGGAATGCTGGAGTCGTGAGAAATGCCGGTAAGCCGAGGTACTGTCACTGAAGAGTGAAGCAAAATCTGACTCAGACTCCTCCCCTCTCTACCGCGGAACAGTCACACGGTCTGCTGGCGCACTTCCGGCTTTCTTCCGCATGCTGCAGGACGCATACATGTGAGTGTACATTCAAAAAGTTCCTCCTGAATTTTGTGTTTAATTTCAATTAAAAGAACAGGAAAATTTTATTGCATGACCCCAGTATTAAATAGTGGTATTTTATCTTTTAATTGAAATAATATAATATAATTTAATTTAAATTGAATTGGAGATAGGAGCCAATTGTGACAGTGGTTTACATATGAACTTGTGTGCCAACACCTCACATATGCAGTTTTCTTCTCCTTTTGTGGCGCAATACTGTCTATGTCACCATAACCCCGATCAGTGCGGTCATTATCTTCTTTACCCTCGTGTATTCGTGAGTCTGCACCATTTTATTGCAGTATTGCAGGGACATTCCTACGTCCTGTGTCTTTATCTCAGTGTACAGACACACTGGCCAACTTATGTGTAATCTGTCTGTGGCAGACATGTAAGAGTGGGTGGAAACTGACAGCCATGAACCGTATCAGTGTTGCTGCTGTTGGAGAGCTGTCCATTACTGCATGAACTGTCAGGTTCATTTCAGGCTACGATGAATACATTTACCAAAAAAAATTTGTAATATATAAGCTGTTATTGTGATTATTGCAGTAAATGATATAAGAAACCAACCTTTGGTGGATTAATATCTTTAATTAGTATAATACTAAATATTGAAATAAAAAAAGCATAAAAGCATAAAAGCATAGACATAATAGCTATATTAAAAAAAATACACGTGAAAATTTTCAAATAATTATTTTAAAAAACCCACAATATTTACAATTATAGAATGTATTGTATTTAAGAATGGACGTTGGCATCACTTTGATAAATACAACTCAGGAAGCACACAGGAAGTAGCTGTAAACCACAAGGAAACAACACGATAGTGGTCATGTGGACAGAATAGGAGTCTATGTTAAATTTAAATTCTTCTTGTTCTGTTTGACACAAGTTACATTTACATGAGTCTATGGCCTCTCCACTCCATTCAAACTTCACATTCTTGCCACAGGTCAAACCAAAGCACCACAATGTATCCCTCAAACTTTTACTCGACCTCTACAGTTTCTTGGATTGTGTCTATCTCTCTCTGTATTTGAGACTTAGAAGTCTTTGGTGTTTGCGTTGTCGGGGGGTCGTCCTCCTCTTCTTCTTCCTCTGCTTCAGAATGAAAATCAGCTGTGGCATCTTGATACTGCTGGTATTCTGACACCAGGTCGTTGAGGTTACTCTCTGCCTCCGTGAACTCCAGTTCATCCATGCCTTCCCCTGTGTACCAGTGAAGGAAGGCCTTCCGCTTGAACATCAGGGAGAACTGCTCACCCACGCGACGGAATATCTCCTGAATGGCCGTGTTATTGCCGATGAAGGTGGAAGCCATTTTGAGACCCCGGGGTGGAATATCACAGACGGCCACTTTGACATTGTGTGGAATCCATTCCACAAAGTAACTGCTGTTCTTCTGCTGGATCGCGAGCATTTGTTCATCCACCTCTTTGGTGGACATCCTCCCACGGAAAATACCTGCCACGGTGAGGTAGCGCCCTCTCCTTGGGTCGCACGCCGTCATCATGTTACGGGGGTCGAACATCTGCTGCGTGAGCTCAGGCACCGTCAGGGCTCTGTACTGTTGGCTGCCGCGGGCCGTCAGGGGGGCAAAGCCTGGCATGAAGAAGTGGAGGCGAGGGAAAGGCACCATGTTGACGGCCAGCTTCCTCAGGTCTGCGTTGAGCTGTCCGGGGAACCTCAGGGAGGTCGTGACTCCGCTCATGGTCAGGGACACCAAGTGGTTGAGGTCGCCGTACGTCGGCGTGGTCAGTTTCAGCGTACGGAAACAGATGTCATAGAGCGCCTCGTTGTCAATGCAGAAGGTCCCGTCTGTGTTCTCCAGGAGCTGGTGGACGGACAGGGTGGCGTTGTACGGCTCCACCACTGTGTCAGAGACTTTAGGTGAGGGCATGATACTGAAGGTATTCATGATGCGGTCAGGGTACTCCTCCTTGATTTTATTAATGATCAAGGTTCCCATCCCAGAGCCGGTGCCACCACCCAGTGAGTGGATGAGCTGGAAGCCCTGAAGGCAGTCGCAGCTTTCACTCTCATGTCTCACTCTGTCGATGACCTGCTCCACCAGCTCTGCTCCCTCCGTGTAGTGGCCTTTGGCCCAGTTGTTCCCAGCGCCAGAGTTTCCTGTAAAGATAACAATAAACGTTGTGAATAAAAGACTCAAACAACATTTGTAAAACTTTTTGAGATTGCACCAGATGTAACTGCAGGGGATACAATAGAGCAGTGTATCCCAAAGACTGGGTCGCAACCCTCAGGTGGGTCGCAAGAGATGTTTTATTTGGTCATCTCGCATCATGTCACTTGTGGTTATGTTAAAACTTGAGTAATACTAATTGTTCAGATATCACTCGGTCAACAATAAAATATCCTCATTGATGTTCAATAATGGTCAAGTACATCTTTATTTTGTGAATTATGAATAATGTCTTTTGACTTGGGTCGCAAAGGTTTGTGACTTTTAAAATACGGGTCCCCAGAAAAAAAGTTTGGGAAACACTGCAGTAGAATTTTACAGCTCCAGAGAAGAGTGGTACTCTGCATTATATGTAGTCTGTGGACCAGATGTCACCACAATCTCTCCAAAGCTGTATTTTTAACATCCAGTGAAATATTATTAGTCTCATTTCCTGTTTTTGTGTGAGGTTATTAAATGGTGTCATTTAAATTTGAAGTTATAAAAAGTAAAACAGAAAGAAGTTAGGTAATTAGTTCGTGTTGGTCTTCTCACCGTAGATGAAATTATCTGGTCTAAACAGAGCGCCGATGCGACTTCCTCTGACGCTGTCCATGGTGCCAGGCTCCAGGTCCACCAGCAGGCCTCGGGGTACATACTTCCCACCTGGAGAAAAAGCAGTAGGATTATATAGAAATGTTGCTGACTCAACACATTTAAAGTCAGTTCTTTTAAAGTTATTTTACCGTGTGCTTCGTTGAAGTAGACATTGACCCTCTCCAGTTGGACGTGGCTGTCTCCAATGTATTTTCCTGTTGCATTGATCCCATGTTCTTCAGTTATCACTTCCCAAAACTGGTAAGACAAGGCCACGCAATATGAGCTAGATTTCCAGAAGCTCCCATGATCAGGAATTTTTTTATAAATTTTTTTTTCACTTATTGTTTCTATACCAATGTGATGCACAAAACGCACAATGTATTATATTAAGCATTTAGGTTATTAAAAATATTGTATATACTTGTTTTACAGTCATATGTAATTTTTTGTTGTTCCATCCTAGTCATGATAAAAAAAAAGATGTCCCACCCATGCCACTCAGTTTTTGGCCCTTATCTTTTTTCCTTAGTGCATGACAGGGAACACCCACTATCATTGTGCCTGCCAACAGACAACTTGAGCGGTGCATGTCAAAATATATGTGAATATTTAAACAAATACTATTAACATCCAAATACAAAAGTTTGAATTAAAGACTTTTGACTGACTTCAGTCTTATAAAATCAGTCCTGTTAGAAGTTATTTTTCCAAAACATGCTTTTTTTAAAAATAATCTCCAACATTTGTTCAGTCACCAGTCATTCCTACTAGAAGAGAGAAGTATTTTCTGTTACCTTGGAGCCGATCTGGTTGCCACATTGTCCGATTTGCAGATGCACTATTTCACGCATGATGTTCGGGCCTACGGTGCACTGAGCAGCTGGGGGTCTCTGATAGTGGAAGACGCTGCCACTCTTTTATACAGCACCAGGAATGATGTCATCAGGGTGTTACCCTGGCTGACAGATGATGTGAGCCCAGTACTATGCTGAATTTAGTGTATTCTGATGCTGAATCTAATCAATTATTTAGAGTATTAACTAATAATTATTATTGAATTAATAAATATCAAGTCATTTTTATTTTAAGTGAAAGTTAATTATTTGTCATTGTGACACTGCACACAACAAATGTGACCTCTGCTTTTAACCCATCACTAAAGTGAACAGTGGGCAGCTTTAAGAACCCAGGGAGCGGTTTGCTGGGATGGTGCCATGCTCAGAGCACCTCAGTGGTAACTTGGCAGCTGGTGGACTCGAACCTTCCGTAGTAAGTCTGCTTCCTTAACCACCGAGCCCATCACTGCCCCATAATCCATGTGTTAAAGTTGAGAACCAAGTTGTTTAAATCAATTCACAAACCAAACCTAAACAATTATAAGTGAATAATTGCATTATTTTGCATTTTTTGTAAAACTGCTATCATTCAAGTAATGACTGTTAAACTGGTAAACACAGAGATAAGGTTTTTGCAAAACTGCTATCATTCAACTAATGACTATTAAACTGGTAAACACAGAGATAAGGTTTACATTACAAACTCCATGACATGGAAAACCACAAACAAAGTGTAGATAAAATGAATGGTGGCTGAGCATTCCTCTGCCGATTATTATGTTAAAAACCAAAGTTAATACTGTTGGAAGATGGCGCTCAGTTTACCATTTTAAAAGGTTTGTTTTTAAAGTCATCTAGTTTATGCTTTCTTAGGGTGAAAATGTGACAAATTGTTATTAATATTATTTTAAACAACAACGACAACAAGAAAACGTGAGGAAAGAATGTACTTAAACTATATGTTAGTATTAGTGTGAGTAAAAAAATGGAAAAAAAATTATTGTAGATACGAAATGCTGCCATCTATAGGATTAATAGGTGTGATGCACGTCGTGACTGAATTTAATATATATTCAATTTTACATTTCTCTATTTAAGTCTTTGTTTTAGAATTTCTATTTGATTCAGTACTTAATATGTCAGTAATGTGTCTCTGAGCAAAATACTTTTGTAGTTTTCAACAACCTTTGTTTAAGAATTCAGACATATTTTTAGCATTCTTGAGGTCATTTCTAAAATAATGTAACACTGTTGGTTTTTATTGTAACATCCTGTATTTATTTTCGTAATAAATTGTATTTTATGCAGTATATATTTTAATTGTTTATTCATTTTGTACTTTCTTTTAAGAACAACCATAGCATTAAAGGTCATACCCCAAGTTAACCTTTGTCTTGGCATTGAAAGAGACATTGTATCAGTCACAATGCGTCATGTCCACTTTATCTAGTGACACTCAATTTGGTATAAAATAAAATAAAATAAAATAATTAAATTGCGTTGATTATTTTTATCATAAATCCGTATCTTTAAAACTAAATTTAGATGAAATTATAATGCTACAAATTTGAACCAATAATCAACGTGAACGGTCAGCAGCCATTAAAAATAATAGTTTTGAGTATTTGCGTAGATTAAAAGAAAGAACTTGTCTTATAATATAACGCTGAATTTAACTAGATGTTCTTGAATTGTTCAGTTGATCGATCGATCACGATTTCCTAGTTGTAAATGTCAGTGATCACTTTGCTTCAAAGAGGGCGCTTCTCTCCTTCTCTAACTCTGCTTCATGACGCTCCGGGCAATCATGTGATTCGTCCGGGCGTCAAGCATCGATGAAGCAAAAACCGGAAACAAAGATTTAAACTTCATATTAAGAGCATCACCGTTTAGTTCTCATTTTAAGTTCATAAAAATCTGTTTCAGATTTAAAATTTGATGAGGTTTATTGGCGCAAGTACAAAGGGTAGAGGTAAATTTTAATAAAATTAAATAACTAATTGAAATACAATACACTGATCATATGTTAAAATAGAATTAAATAATGATATAATGTGATTTATTAGAATACATTTTTTAATTGTTTCATTTTTTTCAAATAAGAAATTTAAATCATTCTGAATTTAATCTGAATTAAGAATTTTGAAAATTTCTTAATTCTTAATATTACGTTTTCTGGGAAAATGCATTGTTTTAAAGTAATTCGTTAAGAACCGAGAAATTACATTTTTGATCCTTAGATACACAATCCTTAGAAATTGTAACTGAAAGTTCCATTGTAACGTTTAGTATTTCTTTAATTAAAAAAGATTATGTAGAAAAAAATTGAAATAAAAAAAAGCTGAAACAGAATCTTGTAGTTTAAAACAGATAATAATTTGCAACACGTCGGTTTTACTTTGATGCTCATACATTTGCCGTATTTTCTAAGATATTAATAATTCTGGCGTGTCCTTCACTTCCGTACTCATTACAAGTGCAAGTGTTTGGCCAGGAGCTTGGCTGGGCTTCTATTCTGAAAGTTCAAATTTAACCGGACGTGGTGTTTGTCCTCCCGGAAAACTTGACCACCGTTCTACGTTCCCAGGGTTCCGTGAGAGCCGTTTGCCCCACCCCACCTCTTCAGCGCTATCTATCTCAATGTACAATTCTCCGAGAAAAACGGGGGCGAAAATAATTCAGAGTAAAACGGCGAATAAACCTCTATTTCTCATGAAAATTAGCCCCGCAGCGGTGAAGCGGTGTGGACGCGGCCTGTCGGTTGGTGAAGATGAGCGTGTGTCGCCGCTGGATCAGTGATTGAAACACCGCGGCGTGTGTGTATGTGTGTTTGAGGGAGGGAGGGAGAGAGAGAGAGAGAGACACAGTGCGTGCGTGCGTATGTGAGTGTGTGTGTTCATGTATCTTCCACATGTAACCACAACCTACCCTTCGGATTCAAAGGGAATACAAAAAAGGAAAAAAAGGGAGCAGGGACTTGACAGCGAGCCGGAGGAGGGAATAACGGAGGACTTCCAGCAGTATCACCTGGATATTAGCGTTTGATTCAAGGACATCCAGCTGCCCACCACCGCCTTTCACTCGTTGTCCGGAGAAGCTTCCCGATGTGAGGAGAAATACAAATTAACGTAAATGGACACAGAGAAGCGGCCTGCGGTTCTTATGGATGTGGTCAAACTCTGCCATTAACCGAACGGTGGTTTCTGTTGACGACGAGAGGAAATCATTTTGACATCGGCTAAAAACAGGATATTATTGAATAGGCTGCTAACAGCCAACCCCCACCCTCGAAAAGGTGTAAGATGTGACGGATCTGTGATAGAGAAAGAAGCCCCGGTGTAGCTCGATGATTCACATGTCGTCATACTGAAAAAAGAAATATATTTATTTTATTCGTTTTTTAATTTTTTTTACTTTTTTCTCCTCGCGTATCGATTAGGTGGATATTTGCTTCCAAATAGCATTAAAAAATTATATATTCAAGGGTGGAAAAGGCTGAAGGGAATGGATTGAATGGCAGCGTGAATGATCTGCCAAGAACTGGCTCATAAGGAGGAAAAATCAAAATTCAAATGAATGCTTTGAAATCCCATAGCCAGCGTTTGATTGGGATTGAAGAAATCCTGGAAGAGACACCGGATCGCCGACGTTCATCCATGTCTGCTGCGAGGCTGGAGACCTCACATCCACACGGCTCACATCAGTGTTGATGACTTCATTGCGGATTTACAGTGAAAAACACGGGGAGTCCAGCGACTGAAGGGCGGCATCAGTTTCTTCTGTGCTCCTGCCTGTACTCTCATCTCCTTCATTCATTGCCAGTAAATAGCCACATCCACCCCGTTCCCATACCGTGCCAAAGCCTGGTGGTGGCTCCAGTGGCTGAAAACCTAGAACGGGATTACATTTCTCTGTCATTTGCATCTGGCAACATCAATGTCACCCAGGTGCTCTCCCTCTGCCGGGCCACTCTAGGAATTTAGGACCCATTGATTTTATTTTTCTTCTGGTCAAAACCCTCCCTCCCTCCCTCCCTCCTTCCTTCGTTCCTTCCTTCCTTCCTTCCTTCTCGCCTGCCCGCCTTCCGTCCTTGTTCCCTCCTTCTCTCCACCTGCACAGCCGCCTACCCCACCAAGCAACCTGCCTCCCCCTGAACCTGTCACTGGGTTTTTGGGAAGATGGGTTGTCTGGGCAATAGTAAGACTGAAGACCAACGAAATGAGGAGAAGGCCCAGAGGGAAGCCAACAAAAAGATAGAGAAGCAGCTCCAGAAAGACAAACAGATTTACCGGGCCACTCACCGGCTACTGCTGCTAGGTAGGTGTATCACTGCTCTGCTCTGCGTTTGTGTTATGTGTTCCATGTTTGGCCTGTGGGTCTATTTGTGTTATCAATACGAGCATGTTTTCACCTGCTTTGTCCACAAGTGCCTGCCGTGTTTCACCAACTCCCTCGGTTTGCGCCTCAGTGAGCCTCGATTGTAGCCTTGACGTGAAGTCAGTGCAGCGGCGTCTCCGGCTGAAAATCAGGCCCATCTCCTGCATATTATGAAACACGGCTGCAGACCATGTGAGAGACAGTGGACAGACGCTCACACACACACACACACAGGCAGGCAGGCAGGCCCTATGCAGAAGCAGCAAGGCCACCGTTGCTTCTCTGCACACATGCAAACTGCAGAGCGTAGACTGAGCGACTGAGATCCCTTCACCTTGACTGCTGACGGCCTCTTCACGCAGACACACCTTTCGCACATAATCCTCTGCCCACCAGTGGTTCTTAAGTAGCATGTCTTCTACCTCAGTCCTCAAAGTCTCTATTTTACCTTAATGTAGCTATTTGTAGCCGCATCACGCCGAGGCCTGGTAAATGTTTGTTACGTTATATTTGTACACCAAACCACAGCCAACATTTGACATCCTGGTCATGCTGCTAATATATAAAAAAAAGAAAATTAAGATTATTATTAGGATCAGCAGACGTATGCCAGTGACTCTAACCCATATCAGACTCAAGGCCCGGGGGCCAAATGCAGCCCGCCAAGCCGTTTTGTGTGGCCCAGCGAGAACTTCAGTAAAGTCCATGCAGCAGATTTTCTTAACCTAAGAAACGAAAAGTTTTTTATTATTACACAGCAATGAACAATATTTGTGACCTATGGACTGGTACTGGTCCACGGACCGGGGTTGCTGACCCCTGATCTATAGAGTCTTCCAGTTACAACCGGCCCTTCAAGAGGAACTGTACTGCTGATGTGGCCCCCGGTGAAAATGAGTTTGACACCCCTGCTCTAACCTAAAGTTGACGCACCAAATGCTATTTTCCACAGCTCGATTGAGCAGGTGTCATATTGTGGCTTCTTTTTCAAACTTTGACCATATTTTATTTTTTTTTTTTTTTTTAATTTTTTTTTTTTACTTTAATTTCTCTGATTAAAACTAATCTGTGGACGATTTCCTAATACAAAATGACTTTTTCTTTAAATTTTTTTATGTGAAGCCATGAGTCATAACTTACTAGATTTATCTTTACAGACCCCCCCAACCCCCCACACCTGCATTGAGATGATGAGTGCTTATTTGTGAATCACTGATTCAATGGAATATGATAAATTGGAAAAGGAAATGTCTGTGGTCCAGAGTTCAGAGCGTCGCCTGCCTTCTCAAAACCCAAGAACTTACTATATCTTGACTGCGTTATCGTTTAGTGTGATTACAAAAAAAACAAACTAACATCATGACATAGTTTCTGCTTAAAAGGTGAAAGTAGATTAGTAATTAGTAGTTTTCTCCGTGCCTCTGTCCGCTGTAAATTCAAATTATTCTGCATAACGTCAGCACCACTCAGGCTTCCAGTTTGGGAAATGTACTACTTGCCTATCTGGATGAGCATGTGGGATCATGGAAATATACGGGTGGAAAACAAAAATCATGGCAGGAAAATACCACTGTGTGTTTATGAAGGGGAACCTGCGTTTTGGAAAAAAATGTACTTACCTTGAAATGTTTGTTGTGCTTCTGTTTTCAGGGGCTGGGGAATCTGGGAAAAGCACGATAGTCAAACAGATGCGAATACTGCATGTAAATGGCTTCAATGCTGAGTAAGTTGCTGATACACACACACACACACACACACACACACACTGTCAGCATCCTTGATGTTGTAATGATGAGTGAATAATCCCAATGATGGGATTATTATTGTGGGAAAATGTTAAAATGTGGAAGAAGTCTTACTCAAAATGTAGCTTTGTAGAGTTGCTGGGTTCAGTAAAGCCATTGTCTTTAACAATATTAATCCCTTGATGTTGTAATGATGAGTGAATAATCCCAATGATGGGATTATTATTGTGCAGTCTACCGTCTACAGCAGCGGTCCTTAATCTTTTTACGCGTCACGAACTGGTTAAATGTCTGAATTTTTTCTCAAGGACCGGCCTTTAAGGTGTGGTGGAAAAGTACAAGGAAATAAAATGATACGACCGGCATAAAAACGGGTATTTTCTACATATAATAAACGTTATCAGCAGCGTCCTCGTAACATGGTGCTCGTCTTTTAATGCAGAACGCTTGGTCTCCAAGTGGTAAATGCAGCTTTCTTTTTTCTGGCTCTTTAACCCTGCGCAAAGAAACGTTTCAAAGACGTTTGTTTTTTGTTCATTTTGCTAGCTATAATTTAGCGGTAATGTATCATGTGTTAGCGGTCGAAGCAGAGCTTTTAAGAAGGTAGCGGATGTAGACTGAGATAAGCATTTTGACATGTATCGAGTGAGTCACAGACAGATGTGGCGGAGAGAATCTGATAATTTTTCAAAAATAAAACATTGGTCAGAATCAGATAATAAATTAAATGGAAATAATGTAAGTTATGCATTCTTTCTACTACGGTTCAGTGCGGCCCGGGACCAATTGACCCACGGACCGGTGCTGGTCCCCTGCCCTGGGGTTGGGGACCATTGGTTTACAGTATTAATCAGTCTACAGTGTTGATCAGTCTCAGTCCCTAATTTGACTGATGTTAAGCCTCCACAACACATGCTGGGAGTTGAGATTGTATTTTAAGCCTGTTGCTCCAGAGAAATAAAAATAAAATGGAAACCAAACTACTTCATCCATACATGAAAAATAAATTGATGGTAGAGTTATTGAATATAGAGGTTTTTTTTCTCAAACTGACTTCGTGACTCTTAACTGGGAAACTGAATGAACTCATGTGAGCTTCATGTGAGAAAACTTCCCATCATGGTCCAAAGAAGAAAAGGAAGTGACGGCCCTGAGATGACATTTGTGATTTAGCTTTATGACGCAAAAAGTCAAATAGCACTGGAACATGGCTGTGAGTGTTCTCAAAGTTACTCCTTGTTTGAATCTCCCGTGTGAATTTCCTTCAAATCAATCCCTACGTTGATGCACCAGAAACAAAAGCCACATTTTTCTTATTATCATCATCAGTTTCCTAGGAACTGGTTTTGGAATCGCAGCATCATCATGCGTGTATTTTCGGGTCAGGTTGAACACATGTCTCTCACAGGCGCCCTGCTGGCTCTGGTGTCAGGACCAGTCCACAGTCACTTTTAGCCACTCGCCCTTGTTGCCGTGTGGTGGCTGCAGGGAGTTGGTTGGGAGTGGAAGGAGGAGATGAGAAGAGAAGAGCACAGTGAAGAGCACAGTGATGTTAAGCGTGGGGCAGAAAAAAGAAAAAAGTTCAGGATTCTGTTTAAAGTTCAAACAACTAGACATCTACTTAGTTTTAACGTAATTTTTTTTTTGTCGCTCCAAATTAAAATCCAGGGGGCGCTACAGTTGTGTTTCTCAGAGTAATTGGTGCAGTTTTTGATGACTCATGACTTATTAGTTGGCTAGCCTAGTGGGTGTTGCCACTCTGTCAAGATCCTGGATTCTTTTTGATTTTGATATATAAAAAAAACAAAAACATTTGAGATTTGCTCTTTGTCTGTCTGCTGCCAAGTTTTAAAGAACGTTTATTGACCTTCAACACTGGTTCTCAAACTGTGGTACGCGTACAACTCCTGATATTTGGGCTCCCTCTAGTGGTATGCGAGGGAATCTAATTTTTGTTATTACATGGTCTCGGCCAGTTTTTGCAGGCACAGATGAAAACGACAATATCAACTCGTGCTTTGTGAGAAAATAAGTTGAGCTTCTGGTTTGTTTGTTTTATTTTTTTCTTTACAGGGAGAAAAAACAGAAAATCCGGGATATCAAAAACAACATTAAAGAAGCTATAGAGGTGAGATACTAACAAGAATTCTGTTGTTTTTTTAATATATATAATTTGTAGAATTTCTGTAAAAACGCCGAAGTCATTCAATTTTTGGAAACTCTTTCAAATCCTGAGTGACTTCACTTTAAGTTGTTAAAAATGCATGAAAGAAATCCCTTTCATGCACACGGTCGTGTGGTAAATTGTTGTTACATTTGCTTCCTGTGCTCCCTCTCCCCACAGACAATTGTAACTGCCATGAGTATACTCACACCTCCATGTCAGTTAGCATGTCCTGCTAACAAATCCAGATTGGAGTATGTCCTGAACCAAATCAACCTGAAGGACTCTGAGTTTCCTGCGGTGAGTTTTGAATTCCTGTGTCTCTATTTCTTAACAGCCCTTTTGAGTCCAACTTAAAAAATTCAATGAACATGTGAGTGACTCTGACCGAAGTCTTCTGGGGCATTGTGGTCTAGCTACACCGTTTGTCGGTACCAGGATTCTTGTGCAAGCCACGCCGTCTTGTCATCTATTTCCTGTGTGCTCAAGTCGCTCAGTGCTATCTGTGTATCTTCTTCTGTCGGGCGAAACCAACTTTTGATTCATTACTGCCATCTACTGGTCTGGAGTGTGCGCATTAGGATAACGAGTGTTATTAGTCGCATTATATTCATGGCTATGACTGTGTCCTTACCTCACTAAACTCAAAGCATTGCAATTGCATAAACTAATATTAATGTTTTAAAGAATCAACAAAATTATTAAAATTATTTCAGTCGAAAACCAATCATTTTTGGTGGCCGAATACTTGGTGCATCCGAAATTACAGACCTTGTCTTGGTGTTTTGACGGTGGCTCTGCATCACTTCCTGCTGCACTGTGCAGACTAGAGTCATCCAGACAGTAGTGTCTCTGATCCCGCCCGGGTGTTGGTGTTGACTCAGTAGGTGAGCTCCCATTTGGGAGGATGTTGGTTGAATTATTATCTCACCTGAGAGTCTCCTCAGTGCCCATTAACACTCCGTCTCCATAATGAGCCTAAATGTGTCCAGAGGGATCTATCCTTGCACAAACACAGAGAACCGGAGGGGGGTGGGGGTGGTAACACCCCCCCATTCCCCTAGAGTTGACATGTCGGGAAGCCAATACAGGTCCCTGAGCTTCACCACAAGCTGACGTATTATTTTCCAATCCCTTCTGGATTTTAAAGCTAATATTGCAGAGAAGCTAATGAGAATTAGCAACAATATGGATCAGGATCTGTAGTCTAGATTAAAAAAAACTAGTGCCTGAGGCAATATTTTATCTATCTAATAGTTTGTATAAAGTAGTATGTTTGTATAAAGTAAGTGAGAATTTGCATACGTTTGAGGATAGCACTTGTAGCACCACAGAAGTGAAAAGTATTTATTGCTACTGTGTGCTATTTAGCTGAACATGTCAAGTGTGCTTATTGATTTTCTTTTTGAATAATTGATTGCGAAAAATACCCATTAAACCGCTACCAGTAAATGATATTCAGTTTGTAACCCTTTAGTTTAAATTGTAAATAAAGAATTAAGTTCCTGTGTTTTTAAATATAAAAAACCAACTCAGTATTAATCAGTGTTAAGTTCAGGTGAATGATAAGAGGTGATCCAAATGTAAAGCGGAAAACTGACCCACTGTGGGCGTGTGTTAACCTTTAAAAACAACGTGATTAATAACTTGTAGATAATGGAAAATTTCTAACAGATGGGCAAACAAAAAGGAAGTAAGAGCAGCGCATTCTTCCCAGCAACCAGGTTTGTTTTGGAAATTCTACTAGGCTCATCTCGGAAGTCGTGTCATCCCTTACGCTTGTATATACGTCATATTGCTGGCCAATCAGATGTTGATGTTTTGTTTTTTTTTTCCCCCCCGATTGATGTCTTGTTATCTTTTGCACTGGTGCTGGTTAAAATGAGGGAACGACAACGGTGAACACACGTGTATAAATGTATGTATGAAGTGGTTGCTCATATTTATCTGTATTTTTGATACCGATAAATATGGCTGTTTTAAAAAATATCGTTGGCATTGAAATAGAATTGATGCAGGTTTTTATTCATTCCTTAATTTGGAACTGCTTATTTTAAAGCTTCATGAAATAAAACCATATACAGGAAATTAAATTGATTCTCAAGTTGTCACAACCATCAGACACACAGGATAAGAATGAACTCCAATCAACAATTCTCAAGTTGTCACAACCACCAGACACACAGGATAAGAATGAACTCCAGTGGTGACGCTTTCACTGTTAAAACCTCCCAGTTCTGCTCCACAGTGTGGACAGTGTTTTTCTGTAACAGCCGAGTTTTCGCTGCAGAGTGCGCGTATTTGTGTGTAAGCAAAAGGAAGTCACCTCATAATCATTGTGTTATGTCATGGCAACTTTACGATGAGGGCCTCTTTGACCCTCACTTCAGGCCGTCGGTCGTTAAGACTTCTGAACGAGGACCTGCGGGTCTCCGCGAACACAGCTGAACACGCAGGACTTCGCTCTAGTTCCGAGTCGGCACTTTTTCATCGCACGGTGAAGGATGCGGTTCAGTTTAACTTCAGACGGGCGTTGTTTTTATTGACTCTTCCTGTTGGGACCAGTAGTTGTGTTGGAACAGAATAGTTAAAAAAAAAAAAAAAAAAAAAAGCATGACTCCTCTCCACGTCTCCTCTTTGCCTGGCCTTCGGGCCAACAGCAAACCAGCTTAACTGGTTAACTCGGCCTCCTGTTTGTGTGTCTTTGTGTGTTTGTGTGCGCTAACTTGTGGGCACACATTCATGGAAAAATATTGTAATTTTTGTGGACACTTTTATTGGGACATTTTTCAGGTCTAGACTGAGTTTTAGAACAGAATTTTAAATTTCAGAATTTATAGATTTAGGAGTAGTGGCCGGGTCAGATTAGATCTAGTGTTAGGATTACGATTAGGTATATATTGATAATGGTTAGGGTTAGAGTAAGAAGTAAGGGTTATGCCATTCTGTGTGTGTGCGTATTCTAGTACAATGGGGCTTCAAGATACGAGTTTAATCCGTTCCACAACAGCGCTCGTGTGTCAATCCACTCGTATCTCGAGTATCTCTCATTTTTCCCCATTAAAAATAATTAAAAACCAAGTCATTCATTCCAGCCCCCTAGAAATATACTATTAATTAATTAAATATAAATCTCCCCCCCTTCTAAACATCAAAAACATAGATATAAACAAATATATGAAATAATAATAATTAAGAAAACATTTTATATTGTTGTTACAAAAATGGGTAAAATAACCCAGTGAGGGACAGAGGGACAATGTCGAGTGGAAAAATGGAGCTCAGTTGAGCACTGGTAACTCAACGTTTCCTCGTATTACGATGGAAATCTTGCAAAAGTTGCCTACCCGTAACTTGGAACGCTCGTATTTCACAGAGCTCGTACTGCATAGCTACACTTGTAGGGATATTTTTTGAAAAATATTGTTGTTCTGTGGCCATTTTGTCCTTGTAAAGACATGCCTATTTGATTATAAATATATATAAATATAAAAAATATAAATAAAATCTAAACACTTGCATAGTATGTGCATGCGTGTGTGTGCTTGCATGCGTGTGTGCACTTGCATTCGTGTGTGTGCGCTTGCATGCGTGTGTGTGCTTGCACACGTCATCATCTGTCCTCACTATTCTTGCTCGGTTAGCTTGACTGCTCATCTCTCCCAGTGTTGGCTTCTCATCAATGTGTCACTTTATTGCTGCAACTAAACTGCTTTTTTCATGGAAGTCAAAAAGTAAAAAAGACGAAAAGTGAAATCAACTACAGTGGAACCTGAAGATACGAGCATAATCCGTTCCCGGATCGAGCTCTTAACTCGAGGTGCTCGTATCTTGAATCATGTTTTTCCAACAAGAAAGAATTAATTAAATGAATTCTACGTACGTAGACACTTGATTCCGTAGCGTACCTTACAGATACTCTACGTAACTTACATAAACTTAGAATTAACTTAACTCAGGTATTTTTTTTTACTTTTCTATTTTTTATTTTTTGCTTTTTCAATTTGTATTCTTTCTTTAGCGGGCACCACGCTCGTATAGATTGACAATTTCATGCTTTATTTCCATGGTCATCATTACCATAGAGAGAAAATCATGTAGATAACGCAAACACAATACGGAAGACTCGCGAGAGATGCGTACGGAAGTCGTCGAACACGTGAAGTGAACGAGGGAGGCGGCACTCGGCCACCTAGCGTCGGCGTCTTAGGGCGTGCCCGTACCTTGAGTCTTTAGTCGTATCTCGAGGTTCCACTGTATAATGAAAAGTGACATAAAAGTGTCTCCTCACCACACACACACACACACACACACGTCGGTTCTGATTGAATCCCGACTCTTTTCAGCTTCTCAGCTCCCCACCCCCCCCCGGCTGTATGACTTCAGCTGTAGATGGTACAGATAAGAGAACGGCCCTCGCACAGTGAAGGCCCGGCCTTGTGTCTTTACAAGGCTCTCCGTTTCTAAATGAACTTGATGAACTTGTGTTTCCTGCCTGTGTCAGACACCCCTCCTCCCCCCCCCCCCCCGGCTGCTGCTTCTGCTCTCCGAGCTGGTCTTACGTTAATATAGTCTCCGAGAAATGATCGCGGATCACACTTTCCTTTTTATCTGCTGTTCTACACGCTTCTCATACATGACGTCCAGATGACGAATAAGCTCCAAAGATGAGGATCACATGTTTGAAGGGACCGTTTAAATACGTTTTCCACAAACACGATAGTTCACATTCAATACTGCAAAATGTTTTTCATGTGTTTCTCTAGTATTCTCTATTGGTTATTTGCTTTTTTTTTTTTGCAGGATTGTTGCTGTTGCATAAAGTCATTTTAAGGATCAGTGTGTGGTTGTTGAGGTTTTTTTAAAAAAAGCAGGATTATCCAGGAGGTGAAAGTGAAGGATTGTGCTTGGTGTGGAATTAAAAGTACAAGGAGAAGTGTCTAGAAAGAGTTTGGTCGAATCAGTATTCATCAAAACAACTATGCTTTTTCTGTACATTTGAGTCGAAACACATGCTGCGTAGAGAATTCCTTACCTGCTGAATTTTGGGCTCTGTCTTGATCTGAAATCCAGGTCCTCTCAAATGTTCTTCCAGTTTCGGAAAACAAGGAAAATCAGACGGAGGCAGATCAAAACCGGTTTCAAAGCTTTAATCGTTTCACCAGGTTTCTGTCAGGTTCGGTTCAAGATTTGGTGTTGTGCTTTGATTAAATGAACCTAACAGAACTCTTCAACCGAGATTAGATCAGTTGTTTATTTTTCGAAGGGCCCACCAAAACATTTTGATCTCTACAGCATCACATCTTGTTTTCTGTGATGGACTTCTCGACTAATCTTCATCCGTTTGTGTCTTTGCAGCAGTTTTATGACCACACAAAAAGTCTTTGGCAGGACGAAGGCGTGCGGGCCTGCTGGGAACGGTCCAACGAGTACCAGCTCATCGACTGCGCACAGTAGTGAGTGTCACCCTTATGTTTATTCACCTCTGCACCACGACATGATGAGGATCGGTCTCTCTCTTTCTTTTCATTTCAATTGCAAATATGAAAGGGGTGTGGCCTTGGTCATGTGTTGGAAAGTTTTTGGAAATTTTTTTTTTTTTTTTTTAAATTCCAAGGAGCTCATGTTGGTACATTCGGTGCTGAGACTCAGTGGTCTCTGTAACAACTGTCAATCATCGCATATTTAAAAAGGAAACTAATATTTACCCCGAGCGAGACAGGGTGTGAAAATCACGAGGAAAATCTTGCTCAAATTGCTTACTCATAACTTGGGAAACGCATTTTGAGGACCTCGTATCTCGGGGCTCCACTGTATTTAAATTTTGCGTTTTACTCGAGTTGTCATTGCAGACATCGGGTTCGTGTAAAGAGAAAGCAGTATGTGTCTGCATATAGTTAATAAAAATGTCAAACCATATATTTCCTGGAAGAGGAGCATGTGCTTTTGAGCTCCTCAGTTTATTACCTTTTACCTACGCGGTAAAAGGTAAAAATGTACATTGGCGGGGGCTGATACTCAGTGCAGCTTTATTTCTATGCAATAATACTAGAGATGAAAATCCTTCAACCTAACAAAAATCCAAATTTTACTATTATATTTTTTTTAAAATCTTGAATTTTAAATAATATTTTTTAAATATATTTTTCAGAGTTTTTTTGCACTTATTCGCTCCTTTCTTTTCCTTTCCTTTTTTTAAAAAATTTTCTGCACCTCTCCTTTTTTCCATAATCATCGTTTACTTTTTTGATCTTCCCTTGTTGTTTCTCTTCAGTTTCTTCTCTCTCTCTTCTGAATTAGAGAGATTATAATGTAAAAAAATAATTATACTGAAAGTATAAGTTAATAAAAACTCATCTTTGTTACAAAAGTGATGGTGAAGAGACGGAGCTCTGAGCAAATGTGAGAGAATAGACTGAGGAGACAAGTGGACATAAGTGGCTCTACTGCGTTCTAGTCCTCTTCTCTGGACCTCTTTTCTTTCCTCGTCTCCTTTTTCTCTCTCTCCTCTTCCTCTCCCCTATCGACTCCACTCTTATCCTCTCCTCTCTTCTTCTGTCCTCTCCTCTCCTTCTCGCTCCTGTCGTCTCACACCCAGCAGGCGTGTTATGTGTTATGGATCTGATGCTGGGCTGGGTGGCCAGACCGGAAGTGCTCCCCTCCCCCCCTGTGTGCTTATGTAAACGGAGAAGCAGAGAAAAAGAGCGGCCAGAGCTATTTTTAACTCGGCCTGCCTGCAGAAGGAGAAAGAATGAGTGTGTTAGGAGGAAGGCAACTTCAGCATTATTAATGAAAGTTGTTAGTTTTAAATGAAAATGTCAGCCACTGATCACCGCCCGCCCCCCCACATTCTCCAATGTCACAGGTGTAGTTTGACAGATGCTCGATGCCACGTCTAAACGTGAAGAAACTAAATCACTACACTTCAAGCAAAGTCCTTTTTTTTCACTTCCCGACTTCTTAAACTTTTGCCTTTACTCAACATTGTTTTACTCGTTCAAATGACCACAACTACTTCAGTTGGAGTTGGAAAGGCGGGGTCGCTGAAACAACAAAACACTGCATTTACAGTATGCAAACTGACTGTTGTCCAACGGAACTTCTTAGTCGCTTCAGTGCTGAAGTCGTCTAATTTGGTGCATGAATTGACATGAACATAAACAAGGCTGAAGGCAGTGCTCTCAAACCCCTGGCTCGGGGGCCACTTCTGGACCATGGAGCCCTTAAATTTGGCCCACAATTAGAATGGAAAAAAAAAATTAGTATTTCTCTTAAGGTTTTAAAATGTATTTACAGTGGAATCTGGAGATACGAGCATAATCTCGTAACTCCAGGTGCTCGTATCTCGAATCATTTTTTCCCATTAAAAATAACAGAAAAAAAAAATTAATCAGTTCCGGCCCGCTAAAAAACTCCCTTATTAGTGCTAATAACAATGGAAAAAAACATGTTTTTAATTGCTGCAGAGGTATACACACACACACATTATAGTATATAAGGATTCCTTTGATATAAAATAAAATGTGGTTTTAATTATGAGTTCTTACCTTTGAGACAGAACTTATTTTTGTTTTGTTTTTTTGCTTTTCCAATTGTATTCTTTCTTTAGCAGCCACCGTGACCACGCTCATATTTATCAACAATGTCCTGCTTTATTTCCATGGTCGTCATGCGTTTCTTCTTCTCACCACCATCCTTACCACTTCATTATTATGAAGAATAATGCACAAAATAGAGAGAAAAATCACATAGATAACGCAAACACAGTCCGGAAGACTCGCGTGAGATGCGTACGGAAGTCGTCTTATGCGCGAACTGAACAAGCAAGGCTGTAGCTGTTAGCTACAGTAACATCCTAGCACCACATCGTTGATTACTTGACAGATAATCTTGACTTTGAAGAAGACCTAAGGTTCGTTATTTTACATCATAACTAGGATTCAATTCAGACTGAAGGTGTCGGCAGCTGTGGAGCGGCCACGGCTTCGTCAGCTCTGCACCTACAGAAACCTGAACACCAGAGGAGGAATGTGACTGAGCAACTCCATACATTCTTCTGCAATACCAGCAGAGTGTTACTGGTATATTTGTGTTGATTCTTTGAAATCTCGTCTGTGCGATAAAGTGCCTTTTGTGCCAGAGTCTCCCTCTGGCATCCTCTCCCCTTCCTTCTGTCTCTCTCACTGTCTCTGCCNNTGGGATCGAGTCTCTGAGTCATCGCGAGGAATAAAAGAGTAGGGGGAGGGACGAGGGGAGGGGGTAAAGAATGAGAGACGCTCAGAGACAACAGAAAAAACGTCTTTTTTTTTTTGCAGCGTCATCTCATACTGTGTTAAACATAATATTAATAATAATGTCAAATATGAGCTTCAAACGTTTAGGTGAACCGATGGATGTCATTCAGTCGTCAGTCATGATATCAGTACCAGACTAGAGAACCAGATGATCATTGGTTCACGGTATCAGTTGAAAAAACTTTTTGTATTGAACTTTCTATACTAATACTAATTTCATTTTGTATAAACTTATGTCAAACAGTTTCATTCTGTTTATTCTCATGATTTATTTTCTTTAAAATTTCAAATACATGAACTATTCTTTACACCTCTCCCTCTCTCTCTCTCTCCCTCCCTCTCTACCGTCCTTTCTCTTTCCCACTCCATTCCCGGCATTTCTCTCTCTGTGTCTCTTTGTTCCTCTCTCCCAATCTTTCATCACGCTCTCTTTCACCTCCCGCCTTCTCGTCTCTCTCCCTCTCTCCGTGCCTCTC